GAGCCCTATTGAGTTATTTTCCCTGTATGCTGTTATGGAAATTACTCAGAGTCACATTTCTTTCCAGCAGATCTGCAGGCAGAGGAAAGACCCATGGCGAGTGATGCCCTTTGCACTGCTTAACTGCTGCATTACGAGTTTAGAAGGGTTTGGCCCCTGGGGTGACTAATTTTGTGTGGACCTATACAATGCCTGTTTCAGCCAACAGGACTACTCACTTAAGTAAACTTGGAGAAAGGGTGCAGAACAGAGCCTGTATATAACAAGCTTGTTTCAGTCATATGATATCTAGCAATCAAAATTAGCACATTTTAAGTCCGAGACAAGGAGAAACCAACCCTGAAACTTCACCAACTTCTCTCATCCTCCAGCAGGGGTCACTTGTAATCTCGGGCAGCTCATCCAGCATAAAAAAATCCAAACGAAAAAACAAGCAGTTTGATTCCTCGTGCAGTGTTTCTCACAGTACAACCTGAGGCAGGACACCTGCCATGCTCTTGATCAAAGACATGACATGATGGTGATATAAATTCAGGCAGTCAGATAGGTACTCCACCTGCCAGCGCAGAGGACTCTTAATGCATGCTACAGCTGGAAAAAAGGCCAGGACAATCACCTTTGTAAAGGCAAAAAAAATAAAAATACAAAATGCGACAGAAGATACTTTCCATCTTACCCCAAAGAAAGAATATCAGTTGAACTGTAACCCTGTAGAGGATTAGACAGCAGAGGCCAGCAGATGCAGGAAAGGGTACACTTCATGATCTTCCTGCCTTTGAGTGCGTTTAGCTTTGAACAATTCCCACATTACTCCCCACTTTGCCCACCAAAGCAGCGGCCCCATTGATGGCATTTAGATGTCAGAGGAACCCAAGCTCTCTCGTAGTTTTAAGCTTCTCAAGTCAAAGGGCTAAAGAACTATGAAACATGCAAAGCACACACACATTGATGTGCACCCCCCCGCCGACACTGTTTTCTGAGCAAGCTGCGTGCCTAAGGGCTGGTTGCAATAACGTTTAGAGGCACATTTGACTGAGAACTGAGTTTATTTGCATCCACAGTTGGAGTTTCTCTACAGATTCTACCAGACACACCCGTAAGCGCTCCTGTCACTTTTCCCCACAGAAATTAGTTAAGAGCATCATCTAGATCAAGTAAGATTTTTATGAACTCTATACACTTATGCCAGCCATACAGCTGTCTTTGCTCTGCCCTGGACAGGAAAATGCATGAACATGACATGGAAAAGGTGCCATGGGGCTTATATATAATTTTTCCATGTATCCTTCACCCACTTCAGTACAGCCCACACCAATTACATTTTAAAGTATAGTTTTAAAGCAGCTTAACGTGGTCTGTGCTTAGAGAGACTGAACTTGGAAAGATTCATCTCCTGAACAGAGATAATCAAACTGCTATTCTAAAGGAGATTGGAGTCGTGTGCAGAAAGCAGGAGTTTTTAAGCCATCAGGACACAGTAAATGTTGAAAGTCTGTATTCAGGGAGATGAGACACCATGCAGCACTGCAGAAGAAGCACTTACAGTTGGGTTTTTTGTTGTTTTTCTTTTTTGAGGTATTGAGAGTGTTAAGGGTCTTTACTCTCTCTATGACCACAGTTGAAGAAGCAGAAATTTTTGTTTCAGAAGGTTGATGCTAAATGCATTAAAAAAAAAAGGAGGTTGGCAGTTCTATATTATCCTAAAGGAAAAAAAAAAGCCATAGAAGTGGGAAAATAGATGCAGATATTTTACATGCTGTGCTAAATAATTCCTGGAAGTAAAATGCAGTCAAAATCTTAGGAAGACTGTTTTTGAACCTGAGTGATCTAGCAACAAGCATAAGTAGGAAAAAAAAAAAAAGAGCTTTTTCCCTTAAAAAGCACAAACTAATGCCATCATATAGCTAGTATGATCATTAACATCTTTCTCTAACCGGATGAGTTAACGTCCGAGAAGTGCAGGGGACTGCTGGAGTGAGAACGGCACAGGTCAAGCTGTTTTTTCCCCCCCCAGATACTGTCTAAATTTTCAGAAGTTAAAAGCTAATATGGAGCCCCCATTTTGGTTTTCAACTACAAGAACTGCTTTTGAGGGAGAGCGAACAGAAGCAAGGAGATGGAAATAATGGTAGCACGCAGAGACACCAAAACTTCTGAATGGCACCACTTGTAAGAATTTAAATCTCACACAGCAGGCCCAAAAGCCCAATTCTGATAACTAACAAAAGCCACAAATTCAGAAGGTTTAAGCCTATACATACTGGATAATATTTTTCTCAGAAGGCACAGGCGATTGAGTGGGAGATGCCTCCATTTCCTAAAATGGCATGATGCCAATCCCCCTGGAGTGACCAGAAGAGTGGGCACATCATACACGCTGTGTTACGGTAGCAGCAGTCCACTCAGAGCTGGAGTCCATGAAAGGGTGTGTTGGCAGGGAGACACTAGGTATAAGGCTGATGAAACCAAGGAATGACAGCATGGATCCAAGCCAGAGGTGGTTCAGCAGACACTATGCAAATCTTCCAAAATAGCTCTTCTGACGCATTTTAATCCTGACTTGTAATCCTTCTCCTTGGTGCCCAGGGTCCTAAGAACACAGCCTGCCAACTGTGCTAAAACGGTGGGGGATTTTCTAACATGAACAATTTATGACTACTGTGCATCCTGATTCATTTTGCCCTGCGAGCCAGTGTGGGGTTTGAAGAGAGGCCAAATTAGGAAGCCAGAAGGGTAGCCCACTCAGGAAATGAATCATCAAGCTTATAGTAGGTTCTGGTCTAAACTAGTTAAACAAGAGAAGAGGCAAAAATGTAGCCAGTTTTAATAAAACTGGCTGCAACTACTACGCAGTTGCAGCCTATTGCTAGTTAAGAACAAGGGGATGCAGGTGGATACTCTCAAACTTCAGTCAATCCCTTCAATAATACTTAAAATATAGTACCATGTTAAAATACACTTGGTAGCAGCCTTGAGGAGCCAAGCATGTGATCATGATAGCAGAGCACAGCTGTAACTTTTCCCAGTGCTTAGTAAACACGGTAAAATCCTCCATAGTCACTACATTAAGCAGAGTCCTGGATATCGCTTGTGAGATTTGGTTTGGAGGTTTTGTTCAATGGCTGGATACCAGAAGTGAAGGCCGTCTACCTGCATTCAGTTCTGTGGTTTCATACAAACAGAGTGGCTTCAAGCTAGGACGATAGCTCTATGAATGCACTTTTACTCCGCTGAAAAAGATCCTTTGTTTGTTTAACCATCTCAAGGCTCTTTGTGGGCTCGGTGCTAGCATTTGCTCTTTAACACCCTCAGGATGTGTTTGTTAACGTTTGCGGGTGACGGATGTAGGTACAAGTTGACAGATGAGTAATACTATAAACAAAACCCTTGCTAGAGACAGCAAAATGACTCTGCCCTGTTCTCTCCCAAGCAACAGCCCCCGCCAAAATGCTTTGTCGATCATGCAGCAAATCAGAAAACATTATAGGTCTTACTGGAGTGCACACTGACCTGGCCCTGTCAAAAAGCAGATTATTTTGGAATATACCCTTGGGTCTTATGAGAGACCAGAAAAACTCAAATCACAACACAATGAAACCCTGCATTCCTTTTCAAAGCCACCTGCTCTTCTTTTCCATTAAGAGCCAAGGGTGAGTATTACATGAGAAAGGAGCAAGCAGCCAGGCCTAGGGTCTCCAGGGGCAGAAGAAATTTAGCAGGTTTCTGAAAATAGCTTTAAAGCAGCTGTGTCATCCTTTGATCAACAAGGCTGCCAAGTGAACACATTTACCATAGCAAGCCACCTGGTCCAGAGATGGCAGCTGTCTATAGGGCAAAGGGGTCTAGAAAGAGCCAAAAATAAATTTAAGAAAAATCCTAGCTTTGTACTGCAGGTTGAGAGTTAGTGTTTTGGAAAGTACTGCTGTAATTTGAGGCAGACACTGTGCTGAGATTCCCCTGCTCAGGCCCATACTACCATGATATTTTAGTTGTGGGCAATCTCTGAGCCAATGGCCACATCAGAACTAGTGCCTGATTTTGCTTTCAGGTAAGTGTTTCAGTAGGAACCAGACTCGCATTATTTGCCATGGAGGCATGATGAAAACTCAAGGCTCAAGGGACGAAAGGCTGGTGTGCTTTATAACTGTACCCACTGCCTTGCTGAGAAAGACAGATTGGACATACACCCACAAATCCAATTACTGCCAGCAGGTCATTCTAGGCTGCTACTGCTGAACATACTTACAGCAACTCATTTCATAAAAATAAATCTGTAAGGTAGAAATGAGGCTATCAGTTGGCAGATGGATGTTTAGCACATCAGCCATGCAGAAAGCTACTTACTCATTCAAGCAGCTTAAATGAAGTGTTCCCTTCTGAACGCTATCACTCAAGTCAGAGAGACTTGAAGTCAAAATCAGACTCCTACCAGTTAACATGTAGCAAGAAGACTCCCAAATGTCCCCCTCATTTTCGTTTTGGAATGTGAGGCAAACATTAGCAACTTGTATTTCAATTCACAGCCTCCTCATGCTCTGATAACAACTAGTTTAATTTCCCCCAATAATAGGTGAGGAGAAAAGGCTACGGGCATTGGTGCTGTTCAGTTTTACTTTTGCTATGCAATCTTGCGGCTCCTGTCCCTAATGTCTTCCCTCTTGTCCCCAGCGCTGCCCCTCCCCCCTCCCC